AGACTGAGCTTAATGGGAACCACTTTGTCTGTGTCTCACCTCAGTTTCAGAGCAGGAGTTGGGCCGAGAAGGAATTTGGGGTAGAACACAGGGAATTGCCTGAGTCGTGCCCAAATGACAGATCCCGAACTTCCTTCTCCCTAGCCAAAGCAGCTGGCAGCACACATAGGACAGTGTTTGAAGGCCAGGAGATCTCTTCCCCGAAACCTCTCCTTTTCCCTTCAGTTCCTCTGAAAGTAAAGATGCATTTTGGGGAAATGGGGTTCCTCTGCGCTGGTGGAGGGAGGGCTGGGCACCTCGGGAGGCAGCACCAGGACCTTTCTGTACCTCATGCCCCTCTTTTTGCCGTTGCAGCGGTTTAGTCCCTCACATCCTGGGGGATGTCATCTTCCTGTGGTGCTGCAACCTCTTGGCTCACTTCATCAACACCTATGCGGTAGATGATAACGTGAGTGGGAGTGCCCGATGGAGGGGTTGGGGGGGCCCGAACCAAGCACCTGCAGGTGCGAGGAGCTAGTGGGAGGTTAATGGCCAAATTAATACAGAGACACTGGGCTTTGGGTAAAACACTAAAAGTGCTAAAGATGCAGCATCTGCTCAGGGCCATGTTTCAGCTGCAGTTTAGGGGTTCAGGTTTGATAGCAAACACCTTCTCTGATTCTCAGCTTGGAGGCAGCATGGCTACCATTGCTTTCTGCCTTCTTCTGCTGCCCCACACCCATCATCTCAGGCTCAGAGGGATGTCAGGAAGTGACAGTGACAGCCCAGTGTCACCCACCTCCTCCATAATCCCTTTGGTTTCTCTTTCCAGTTCAGCCAGGCATCGGTGATCCGGAGCTACACAAAATTCGTGATGGGGGTATGTAGGCAACTGCCTTGTTATTTCTCCTCTTCTTGCTGTCTGTGGGGTGAGAGCTCATGGTCTGGGGGCAAAGGCTGGTCTGTACTTTATGTGCAAAGGTGAGGATAACTTTGCTAACGTGCAAAAGCTGTAACTAGGTTTTTTTGATGGTGAACATTAGAGAGGCTACTGGTTTTCTGTGCTTTCAGATCGCTGTAAGCATGCTGACGTACCCATTCCTTCTCGTGGGAGATCTCATGGCAGTGAACAACTGTGGGTATGTCTCTCACGCTGAGATCTAAGGCTTTCCCTTCCTTTCTTCCAGCCCCTTGTTGTCTGAATGCTCTGCTAACGATCGTAAAGCTTTCATACAGAACCGTAAACTACATGGCACCTCGCAGAGTTGGCTTGTTTCCTGTCCCAGGTCGCTTATAATTTTAGATCAGAGGGCACAGACAAGAGCAGTGTAAAAGCCCAAGTGGAGAGAAATAGGGAGAGTCGTGGTGGTGTGGTCCAACCTGAACTAGACTGGAGGCAGAAGGGATTGAAGGCACCATGCTGGCTCTGAGGAGCAGCACGGGGGAACCCAAAGCTCTTAATGCAGCGATGGGTGCAGGCAGGAGCAGGACCAATCCTACTTTTTCTTGCTTTCCCAATCCCACTGCTGCAAGAAGTCGTCCACATGCGTGCTATGGGAAGGGGAGTGGATCCGAGCCACTGGTGTTTTCCTGGTATCCGCTGGCTCTTGAAGGTGTAGATACAGTGTGTAGTCCTGGACTCTTAATGTATCCAGGTAACACTCCTCATTTGTACACTCCAGGGGTAATTAAATTACATGATCTGTTGCATTGTAAATAACGAGCTGGTAGTTTGGCCTGCAGCCCGCTGCAGCCGCTGTTCCCGTGTCCTCGCTCACACTTAGTGCTGCTCTCCTGTTACCTGTTGGATAGTGTGACATCTGTACAGACCATCTCAGCTATTCCTTGTTGCCATGCAGGTTGCATGCCGGCCTCCCTCCCTACGCTCCCGCATTTGCGTCCTGGATCCATTGCTGGAGGTATCTCAGTGCCCAGGTGAGGGAGTGGGGCGCTCGCGGGGCTTTGGGCTCCCTCTGCTCCTTCCTGCGGTCTCCAGTGCTGCCTAAAAAGTGCCTGTGCCGCATCCTTGATGTGCTCTGTAACCTCTTTCCATCTCTCCAGTTCTGGCACTGGTACCAGGCATGGCAGTACTGGTCTGCCCATTACATGCACCAAGCTTGCAGCCTGCAAACTTTTAGGCAATGCATTGCACACAGCAAAGCAAGGTGGCTCTGCACCAGTCACACCTGGGGGAAATGCCCAACTCCAGCACCCACAGGGCTGAAGCCTCACTTTCTTCTCCGTAGCAGCCTGGGGTGCTCAGGCCTTGCAGGGGACA